GCCGGGGAGAACCGCGGCGGCTCCGGCTGCTGCAGGAGCGGGGCTGGCCCGGCCGGGCGCTGCCCCTGCCGCTCCCCTTTGCCCCGTGGCCGCTTTCCCCACTGCCCCGGCGGACAGGGACAGCCCTGGCCCCCGTGCCTGCTTTCCGCAGGGGGTGTGTGGGTCACAGGGCTCATTTCTCCCCACCTGCCCTCGCATCACCTGCCGCAGCCGTCACCGCGGCGAGAGGAAAGGGTTTGGCTCTGCTCGCTGCGGGGTTCCATCTGCTGAAGATGACGATGGTGGGAGGTGATGGTGGAGGCAGCAGCGGGCAGGAGGTGCCCGAAGCGGCCGCGCAGCCCGGCCCGGCCCGGCCCGGCGGGGCTGTCGGGCCGCCGGCGCTGCAGTGGGATCGGCTCTGACTGCCGTCAACGAATGTCACCGGCAGAAGGAAAAACAAAAGCTGCCTCCAAAGATCGCGGAGCAGAATTTGGCAAGGCTCCTAAAGACACCAATTAGCAAAGGCTAAACCCATTAATGAAGTGGCGGCTCTCTGGTTTCAGCCAGGTGGTGCAGATCAGAGTGCCTGTATCTGCAGCAGAGCCCCGCTTCCCTCCGGCCGGGACCTCACAGCAAACCTCCACATCAATAATACGCTTAATGGATCTCATTAGGGCTGGGGCCGCGAGTCCCGGCCTGGGAGCGGCGGAGATGAGGGGAGCAGGAGGGCAGCGCTCCCCGCGCCGCGCCGGGACGGACCCGGTTCCCTCCAGGGGCGATGGGCGGCGGGGCCGCTGCTCCTTCCCGCGGGTCCTGAGCTCGTGGTTCTGCACGAAATGCATTTATAGGCGGCTCTTCCCGAGATAAGTGAGACCTTGGTATCGCCTCACCGGGCTCGCCAACCCACACACCTCCCCTTGCTGCGGAGCTCCCGCAGCGCGTACCCGAGCCGGGGCTGTGAAAGGGGAGGGAAAGGTGCTTCTGCAAATCCATTTAAAAGAAAAGCGCCCGGACCACACCTCTGTAAAAAGGGACCGGGGAAAAGGGAGGAATATTTCCGCTTCAGCCGGGGAAAAACGTAAAAAGAAGGGGGGAAAAAAAGGAAAACCGAAGTAGTATAAACCTGGCCGAGGTGAGCTAGCATATTTAGCTAATGGAGGTGGACTATGAAAAGAGACCTCATATTTCTCTCCGAGGAGTCTCTCCAGGTCCGCAGACGAGAATACACACAGCAAACGTTGTGCTTGAATTATAGCTGAGGCTTTGCTTTATTTGAATTCACTGGTGTTTATTTAAGAAAGTGAATAAAGGTTTTGTGTAAACAGCCATTATTTCTGATGAGCGCTCAACAGCAATAAGAAGGGGGTGGTTTTTTTAGTCGAGATTGTGGCAAAAGTTGACATTTTGGAGATTGCAGTTTGTCTTGCCGACGCCAGTCAGTCCCGAGGCATGAACTGCAGGGAAAGCTGTGTGTGCCTGCGAGTGTGAAACGGCGATGCCGAGCGAACTGGGGTCTGAAAACAATTATTTTTTAAGACATCAGCTTAAGCCCGACATTAAAATAAAATAAAAATATTTTCCTAAGGAGCGGGGCCGGTCTCGCTCTGCTAACGAGGGAGGCGAACTCAGGTTTCGCTGCCGCCGGCTCCGCGCCCACGGGGCTCTGGGGGGAGCAGCACCGAGGCGGGGGGACCGCGGCGGACACCCCATCCCGGCCGGGCAGGACAGCGGCGGACCCCGATGCCAGTTCCTCACCCGGCCCTTTTGCACCCTGTATCTCTTAATTAAAATATTGCTTCTGTTTTGTTGTATTATTGTTTGGGTTTTTTGGGTTTTTTTTTTTCCCCTTCTAATGTGGCTATTATTTCTGAGGTTGACTCAGATCTCTGGAGATGGGAGGTCTCTGGTAAGAAATCGGGCAAAAAAGAAAAGTATCTCATTGGGCTTCCTAACACAGCGCCCGGGAAAGGTGGGGTTATTGGTAAGCTTTTCCCCGGGAAGAAGGCCGGCCGGACCTGGCTCTGATCAGCCCGGCTGCGCATCTCTGCCAGTGTGGATGCCCCCAGACAGGGCTGGGATATTGGGGCGGCACGGCGAGGCCCCCCGCTTCTGTATTAATCCTATTTCCCATACATGCCAGGCAGGAGGAGGCAGCGCGTCCTGCGTGTATCGCTCCCGCTTCTTGGTCTCTGGTGCTACTTTTCATTTGAAATCAGCGCGAAAAATCTCTGCGGGGCGTCCGGGTGGGGAAGAGAAGCAACGAAGAGAGTTTGTGCGGAGATCCTGCCCTGGCCGGGACCGCGGGGACCGGGGCAGCGCCGGGGCAGCTCCTGCCGGGCCCTCCGAGGGGACCCCGGCCCCGCCACGCACCCCCTGTCACCCGGCCCGCAGCAAGAGGGGCTTGTGGTGCCCGGCACACACCTGGAAAGAGCCACAGCGGATTTAGGAGAGGTGAAGAAACCGCCTGGAAAGCTGCTGCCCCCGATTGAAACACTGTCGGGATTTTGGGGTCGGCAGTGAAACAGCGAGCTCGGCCGTCTCTCGTTCAGAGACAACCAGCATCAAAAGCCTTTCGTGTTATCAGGCCATAACAAGCAAACAAAATAGAGGTTCTCCCAAGCTTTCTTTGACCTGTTCTGGGAGCGGGGGTGTTGCATTGCACAACGGACATGTCGCCTTCGCCCGCCAACGGCGTGGGAGCTGCCTGCGGTCACGACATTGTCCCGATTTTATCCCGCAGAAATCGAGCAGCAACTGCAGCCTCGCGGGACGGGGAAAATTCCCTTCCTTGTAGAGAGGGAGAGAAATCCCTCCACGGGCACATCTTTCCCCAAACTCGTTTTCGTGGCTTTGCTGTACCTGCACATGCACAGAGGAGCAAACTGGAGAGAGATATAATTAATTTTCCCTGTAACTGGGGGGGAGGAAGAAACCCCTCCTCCCGCTCCACCACTTGGCCCCTCGGCCCGAACAGCACAAAAAGCAGGCGCAGGACGAAGGAATTTTGTCCCATCTCTTCCATTCCGACCTGAGTATCTTTACCCAGACCTCGAGTCCCAAAAGCATTATTTCCCACCCACTCCCTTTTTTTTTTTTTTTCCCGTGTTATCTTAAAATTATGCCATAAAGGCATTGCCCCGCTCTCTCCCCGACCCCAAATCCAGGCGGGCACTGCTCCCGTTATTGGGGAGGCCGAGGTGGAGAGAGCCTGGCCCCGCGCAGCCAGCCCTGAGCTGGAGGAGACGCAGATTTCTTTAACCCAAAGGAAGAGAAACTCTTTCCCGACGCGCTTTTCCTTTCTCATCTGACAAGAGCCGCTCCATAACCCTCTCTCCTGCATGGGCTAGTCTTCAGGAAGCAAACTCAAAGAGGCAAATTCCTGCGGTTCCGTGAGCCGCACCGCGGTAGTTTATCGGGGGAGAAACAGTCGTGTTTCGCTGGGCGACTGTCCCGCATCTTCCCTCGCATTTAGGGGAGTTCCAACATGATGGCAAATCCCGCGCTGATGGGCGCAGCCGCTTTCTGGGGCTGAACGAGAACTGCGGGGCCCACGCCGTGCCCCGATAAGTCGCGACACCCCCTCGTTTCCTCCTTGGCAAGGTCTTAGAGGCAGAACATTAATTTACAAGGCCCTTCCAGATAATTTCTTCCCCCGTCCCACTTCTCTGTCCCAAGAGGGGTCGGTCAGGGACGGCACCCCGGGAGCGCTGCCCCCGCGGGCATCCAGGAGCGCATCAGAACTTTGTGTGCGCCCTCCTTGGAGGTCACCCTGCCTGCGCTGGCTCTGACGGAGCCTCTGCCCTCCCGGTTACACCTTTTTTACCAATTTACCCGTCCCTTCTTCGTCCCGCAAGACGTCTCTTGGCCGGCTGTACACCCCAGCTCCTTCTCCCAGGGCTTCTGGTGGGGCGTTCTGTGGGTGTTTAATTCCCTTTCCTCTGGGCATTGCTCTCGCTAACAAGGATGGCCCCCAGGAGAGTGTCCTCCCCGGAAAACCCCCCCGGCCTCGAAGGATTTGTCGCCTGAGCCTTCAGAGAAGCAGCGGGAGAAGGCCAGACGTGCACCCGCCTCCACATCGCTGGAGGACATTGGCATTTCTCTGGTCTTTTGCTTTATTCCTCTGTCTCCCCTTTCTTTCTAGCGAAGTGCCAAGTTCAGTGCCCATCGGCCGAGCCTGTGGGACAGAGGGAGGGCGGCTCGGCCTCTCCTGCCCCTTCCTCTGCCTCCGTGAGCAGCATCCCGGCCCCCGCGGATTTCTGTGCCGGGGCAAAAAGCAATTCCCAGAGGGAAGCAAGCGGCTTTCGCTCTAATCCGAGCTGCTTGGCAAGGCAGGAGGGAGAAGCGAGCTGCCCTCAGAAGCAGCCGCGTCCTCCCTCATGACCCGGGAGGAGCGGAGCACGGAGTAGCGCGGCGCTTTCTATTTTTCCGAGGGCGAAGCTGACGTCGGATCCCGGCCTGGATCCCCGGGGAGTCCGCACGCACCGAGGGGGCACCCACGGGGATGGGGGCAGAATCCGCCGTGTGTCCCCCCGCCCCGGTGTCACCCTACCCCCGCCGGTGTGACGTCACAGCGCGCCCCCCGCAGCCGCACATTCGCGCTGTGACGTCACGGGGGCTTGCGGAGCGACAGCAAAGCGCGGCAAAGCCAAGCCAAGGGGAGCATCAAACATTTCGTGCCCCACACCCCTGCGCCCCAAAACTGCCCCGCCGGCTCCGGGCAGCGGCGGTCGGACAGCCGAGCCCAGCCTGGCATCAAAATCCGCCACACACGGCACAGGCACATGCGGGGATACGAATGACACTGGCGACTTTCTCATCGGGGGCACGACTTTGCGTCATCAAATCCAGTCCTTGTCACTGCCTTTGTTAGGGAAAAAAAAGGGAAAAAAAAAAAAATAGAAGGCTGCCTGCGGAGGCTCCGAGGCGAGGAGAGGCAGCTGATGCCTTCGAGCAGGGTGGAGGAAGCTGGGGCAGCCACGCCAGCCCTCGCCCCTGGTCAAAAGACTGACGTGGCTACAAACCATAGCAAACATTTTATTTACAGGAGTTTTATATATATATATAATATATATATATTTATATATTTTGTCAGTGCAGTATTTCTTGGCCGGATTATTCGAAGCAACAAGTTGCAACCAATGAGGACGTTGGCAAAATACTTCACATTGTAAATTGGTTGGGAGGTGGGGCGGGGAAAGGTGGGGATTTCAGAGAGCGTTCTTTCAGTCCCTCGCTTGGATTTTCCTTGGAGAGAACGAGGGGCGGGTAACGGAGAATTAAAATTAAAAAAAAAAAAAAAAAAAAAAAAAAAAAGGAAAATCCCCCGGTCTCCTGCGAGCAGCTCTGAGGGAAAGGCGGCCGCCTCACGCTCTGCCGCCCCGGGGCTGGGGCTCCCCGCTCCTCCTGCGACCTCGGCCCCTCGCCCCGGGCCGGGCCGGGCGCTGGCCACAGGCAGGAGCGGGCCGGGGTCGGGGCCGGTGCTGGGCGGCCTTGCCGCGCTCCCGGGGCGGGGGAAGGAGAGAAATTAGCGCCCAGGTCCCGGGCCGCCCCGACTATAGACCGCTCCGCGGCTCGGGGCTGGCGGCGGCGGGCGGCGGGGAGGGCAGGCCGGTGCTGCCGCAGGACTTGCCCAGCCCGGCGGTGGGCTCCCTCCGCTCGGCGCCCTCAGTCCGTTCCGTGTCGCTGGGGGCCATGTCGAGGGACTCAGCGTCGCTGCTGTCGCTGTCGCCGTCGGAGCGGCTGGGGCTGCGCTCGGGCTCCCCGGGGGCGGCGGGCGGTGCTCCGGCTCGCTGGGCCGCCGGCTCCGGCTCCGGCGGCGGCTCCTTGTCCTTCTGGGCCTGCGCTTCCTTGGAGTGCCGCCACTTCATCCTCCGGTTCTGGAACCACACCTTCACCTGCGGCCGCGCCGCCCTTAGACGGGCGGCACGGCCCCACCGCGCCCCGCACCGCGCCCGGCCCCGACCCCTTCCACCGCGCCCGGCAGCGCGGGGAGATGAGGAGGCGCCGTCCTCCCCTCCCGCTACCCACATCCTTACTCCACTGAAGGGCTTTTTTTTTGGTTTTTTCCTCCTTCTAGTTTGTGTATTTAAATACCGCACATACCCCACCCCGTGTTTGTTTGTTTGGGTAGGGTTTTTTCCTCTCTCCTTCTACTTCTTCTTCCAGGAAACCAAATCTTGCTCAAGAAACCACAGCGTTATACAATTCTGTGCGCTGCGGGCCCTCAATAATGGAATCATTACAGAGTGGCGTTTAATGCTTCCGTTTGAAGAAGTGTTTTCACTTCCTCAGAACGAAGGATTTCACAACGCAAGGAAAGATTTAGAACAAAAAAATTAAAACAAAAAGAAAAAAAAAAGGAGGGGGGATATTAAGAACAGTGTTTTCGCTTCTACTTCCTTTGCCCTAAACTGCCTCCTACAGCAAATTGCACTCCAGTAAAGCGCACACGGCTGGCCTGCCCTGGCCCCGCTCATCTCTCCACCTGGTCTGCTCCTCGGTGGGCAAAACAAAGGCGAAAACTCCGCGCCGGGCCGCGGTACGCCGCGGAACCTGGGCGCAAGAGATGCTCGGGGTGAGGTGCAGCTCCTCAGACAGCCTTCATTATAAAGGAAGGGAAATCACTTTGAAACCTCACTGTCCTCTGGTATTCATCTAAACTGGAAGTAAGGTTTGAAATAAAACCGAAGCCATTCTTACTTGAGCATCTGTCAGCCCCAGCATCGCCGCCAGTTGCTTCCTGTCCGGTTTGGTGACATACTTCTGGATTTCGAACCGTTTTTCTAAACCTTTCCTCTGCAGGTTGGAAAAAACAGCCCTGGACCAGGAGCGTTTCCTCTTGTACGTCTGGGGCAGCGTGTCCTTGGTTAGAACTGCGTACGGACCTGGGATGGGAAGACAAAAGCAGGGGAAGAGAGAGGGAGATGGCGTTATTAATATCACAGGCTGAAAGGGAGCCTTAAATCCATCTGAATAAGAGTTGGAGTGCGATGTGCAGGGAGGGCCCGGGCCAGCGTGGCCCTGCCTGCCTGATGGGTACGTGTCCTGTCAGTTTGTGCTGCTTCGGGCGCGGGTGGAGCTGTGTGGAACCCGGATTTCTTACTCTCCCACCTCCCCGCTTTTTCTCTCTCAGCCCAGGTTATTACTCCTGTACTCGATGGGATGATCCTCTAGATCAGGCCCTAGGCAGCTCTTCCTCCCCCCCCACACCACGCAGCCCGGCTTTTGCCCAAAATCTGAACATCGCTACGTCCACCCCGGCCTTGCAAAATTGCCTGGCATGTCCCTCGGGGAGGAAGGGGCCTGCTCCAGGACAGAGGGCCCTGCGGCACGGGAGGGTCGAGGGGGGATGAGATGTACCTGGAAAAGTGTCTTGAAACTGGTGCTGCACTGAGCTCCTTGGGTTTGTGTTTAAGGGACCCAGGATAGCAGAGGCCTCGTTAATGGGGTCTAGAGACGCGAAGAACTGGCCGGCGGAAGGCTGCAAGTTGGGGAGATGAACCCCAGATTGGCGGCTCGTAGTTAATAAGGAGGTCAGATCTGCGAGCACAGGAACAAGGAGAGCTCTGTTATACCGCGGTCGAGACCGACAACCCGGCATGATTCGGAGCGGGTGCCCGGTCGGAGGGTCTCGGGGGGCCACCAAGCAGCCGTCTCCCGCCCCCAGGGGCTCTCCTCGGGAGAGGCAGCCATGCCCCGGCAGTGAGACATCCTCCGACATATTTACTCCCTTGCTCAGGATGTTTACAGGCTGCGAGGGGAGATGGATTGCCGCGAAAGCCTTTAACACGGGCAGTGCCTCGGGAGGCAGAAATCCCCGGCCGCTCCGGGAAGTGCGGAGCGCTCCGCTCGCTATTTTCACGTATTGCTATTTTCCCAGGGGCGCAAGCCCTGCGCCCCCGGCTCTGCAGTGCGGAGGCCGGGGAGGGGAGGGGGGGAGGCTCAGTGAGAGCTGTTAGAAACTCTGATTTATAACTCTTTTTTTTTTTTAATAAATATTTTCTCGCCTAGATCGAAAAGTTTTCAAATCGCGGGTGTAGTCGCTAATCGCAGTAAAAGTAAAGAGCACCGAGAGCGCTAGCAGGGAAAGCGGACAAGCCAATTTCTCTACCTCTCAGCGTGTTGCCTTCCTTGACTTTGGGGTCAAACTCCGCCGATAAAATGCGGTCGATGCCGAATTTCAGGTCCTTGCTGGCGGGCGCCGGCGCCGAGCCGTGCGTGTGGCCTCCGGGCAGCCGGGCGGGGGCCGGGGCGCCTCCGCCGCCCGCCGCCGCCGCCGCGGGGGACCGGTGCTGCGGGGGGCGGTGGTGGTGGGAGTGGTAGGCGGCGGAGAGCGGCGAGAGGCGCGGCGGGAAGGCGGCGGCGGCGGCGGGGGCGTCGGGGGCCACGACGGGCGTGGGCCGGAGCGGAGAGGCCGTGGCGTGGAAGGGGCCGCCGTGGTGCACGGCTCCCAGCGCGGCCGGCATCCCGGTACCGGGCCCTCCGGACAGGCTGTCGGCGGCTCCTGCCGCCGCCTCGCCGCCGGCGTGGAGGATGTCGGCGATGCAAAAGGACGGCTTCTTCGCCGCCGCGGCGTCCAGCGGGAAGCAGCCGCCAGCCGCCGGCCCCGAAGCAGAGCAATACGCCGCTGACCACAAGCTGAAGTTGGAGGCGTAGAAAGGAGCCAGCCCGGCCGTGTACATCCTGCCCGAGGAGGGGATGCGCCGCTCCGCAGCTCAGCTCCCGGGTGCGCGCCGCGGAGCTGCCCGCGGCCCCGGGCGCATGGGGAGGGATGGCGGGGCGAGAGGCGGCTGGTGGAGCACTTCCCGGAGGGGCAAGGACGGAGAGCCAACCACCAAAAAATGACGAAAAGAAAAAGAAAAAATTAACCCCGAAAATTAAAAAGTCCCCAGAACCCACGGCCAGACGAAGAAAACGAGCGGGCGAGGAGCGGAGCGGCGCAAACAAAACAAACCCAAACCAAACCCCCTTTCCTCGCACTGGGGGAAGAAAAAAACATCCACCCCTCCCCAAAACTTTCTCTGGCAGCGGCAGCCCTCGCTCCTTCCCCACGCCCAATCCGCGATCCGCGGGGCCGGGCAGCACCGCCCGCCGACACGCCCACGCAGGGCCGGGGCCGGGCTCGGCCACCGCGCCCACAGCGGCAGCTGCGCGGCCCCGGACCCGCGATTCCGAGCTGTTTGCCCCAAAAAGGACACCCCAACACACACCTATATCCCATTAAATTGCGCTCTCGACTTTGAGCAACCACTTTCCCCTACCGCCCCACTCAAAAAAAAAAAAAAAAAAAATACAGCCAAGGTCGCCCCGCTTGCTGCCGCCGCGATTTCCGAAAGTTTGAAAGAAACGCGCGGGGAAATTTTTGGCTATTGAAAGCAGGTCTGTCCTCTTGGAAACGATTCTCAAGGAAATATGTTTCCTTTCCGGATAAATGAACCTGGGATAGTCTGGAAGAGAAGGAGTCCGTGCTGATGCACGCAATATATGTATTTATGAGAGCTCCCAGATATTCTGGGCCCAGGACACGTTGAATCCTGCTTTAGCAGCGATTAATTACCTGATATTCTTTTGACGACAGTGTAATCTTACGGTAGTTTTTTGTCAGGTTCTCCATCCCGGTGTCTGCATCTGCTTGCACACTAATAACACTTTAAAAACTACTTTATAATTTCCCAAACCTTTGACGAGAGAACTATCCCCATTTTTTTCCAGTACACCAGAATCATATGCTATATTCACTGCAATGATTTAGGGACAAATTTATGAAAGTATCTTTGGCGTATTTTTTTCCTCTGCTCTAACATCACATTTGTCCTGACCTGACTCTGAAAATCAACTATTTCTTTATTTTTAGTTTTCGTACAACTAAAGCAGACACTGTCGTTTTAAGCAGCCTGCCGTGTCGGAGGACTGCAAGTTTGCTTTGATTTTGTTACAGGAATATCACATTATTTTTTCCAAAGCGTTTCCCAAATTCTGACGGTTTGAGGGAACAGCCAGGAAGGCGAACTATTTTTCTTTCGCCAGGTATGAAGATGTAGCTTCTGTGGGAATATTGAAACCACCTGCGAGCGAGAGTGAACACGTTCCTTAGCCATAACCGTGTTCTATAAAAGGTGAAGGTGAGCTGGCTCCCCGGGAAAAGCCAGGCACCTCTCTGGTTTGGTTTTGTTCTTATTAATGGGGCAAAACCAAAAAATGAAGGCGGGCTGGCTTGCCAAGATATGTCCGAAACTCGAAGGCAGCGAAAAAGAAAGGTTGATCATGTCTCAACTTTTCCTGCCTCGACATCGGAAAATCCCTTTTCCTTGCATCTCTCCTCAGTTCTCCCTCACGGCAGCTGACCCACCAACATCCTCAAACCGAATCGAACGACTCCGGTTCCGCTCGTGTTCGCAGCGCCGGGCAGAGCCACCCCGCCCGCCCGCCCGAGGGACGGGCAACGAAGCGTGCCTTGGGCGCTGCATCCCGGCCGCAAACCGCCTCGTTAAATTATTGCTGCAATTACCGCTGCCACCCCGGAGCCTTGGACCAGCCCATGGCTGCTCACCAGGCAGTCAAGGCAAGGGATAAAAAAAACCAATAAAACTAAACGCAGTGGTTTTCCCTTTTTTTTTTTTTTTTTTTTTTTTAATTTTTTCTTTTAGGAGCTGATTTCCAAACTCCTCTCGCCTCGCTGCCGTGCGGGGCCCGTGGATGAGCAGCAATGGAGGGACGGGGCCGTTTGCGGGCGCGCCGGGCAGACCCGACCCGGGCACGGCCGCGGCTCCGCTGCCTCGGTGCCGCCGGTGCCTCGGTGCCGCCGGTGGCCAGGACACCGCTGTCATCCCGCGGGGATTAAAATAACTCAAAAGGAAACGCTGAACGCCTCACACTAAAACCCTTCACCCTCGGACTGGGCCTCGGGGGGACGAGAGAACCGGGGAGTCCGGGCCGCGGGGGCAGGTGCTTTCCCGGGGCTCGGCTGCGCTGCGCACTCGCGCATCTTGGCGGCCGAAATCAGGAGCACTCGTCTCACCCCCCGGCTCTCCCTCTTCCTGGGGACAAGGGTGTCCTTTCTCCCCAAAGGCCTCCGCAGGCCTCCCTGCCTGCCCGGGGACGCGCTGCCGGTGGAGGCAGCGGCCCCTCCTCCCAGCGCAAGAAGGGAGAAGGCTGCAGGAAACCTGGGGCTTGCTGCAGTCCAGGTCATCTCCTGTTTTTTGAGAGGTTCCAACTCGGACTAAATGAGCGGATGTGCCTGCGAGATTTGTCCCAAAATAGAAGCGGCTTTAGTATTTTAGGATACAGCAGAAATCCTTATTTCTTCCGGAGAAAAACTTCATAATGAGCGCGAGCACTTCCCTTTTCAATATTTGTGCAACTTTATCTCGACCAGCAAGTTGCTTTGGTGACGCAAATCCGCCCTTGTGTATTGCAACTACAAAAATAAATGCAAGGAAATCAATTCCCTTCTAGCAATGAAAACATAAATATACAGCTGCGACTTTCCCCTTTAATCTTGCTTTCCGAGGGACTCGAGAAGGAGGCGAATGAACTGCGCGGCAGAAGCGATGCTGCTGCTTTTTTTTTTTTTTTTTAAGGAGTGGAGCTCGAAGGATTTTTTTTCTTCTTCTTCCTCGAGGCCGACAAAGGAGTTGGGAAAAAAAAAATTATTCGAGTTATTAACAGGGGAAAAGAGAAGGACTGAGACCCGAGACCCTGCAGCTCCCCCGTCCCTACTCGAGGGCACGGGACCGGGAACATCCCGGAAAGGGCCGGGCGCTGCTGCCAGCGCCCCGCGGGGAAGGACGGACGGCCCTGTCGGCCGAATGCCTGCCCCGTCCAGCTCCCCGGAGAGCTGCGGGCAGGTTGGCCCCGCAGATCCCGCCGGGATGCTGGCAGCCCGAGCCCCCGACCGCCTCTCCCGAGCCCCGAACGGTGCCCGAGCCGTTCACCCCACTGGGGGCTCGGGGCTCCCCGTCACCGCAGGCAGCGCTCGGCGGCCCAGCCGCGGGGAATGCGGAGCCAGGTTTATCCCTCCGAGCGGCCTCCAGCCCTCCTGCCCCGTCGCCCGCGGCCTGTGCCTTGCCTGTTGGATTTTAGGCTTCTGTACGTGCTCCGATTATTCCTATGTTTGTATCTATAAACGTATATGTGCGAGATACACAAATAGTATAAAGTTAAAATACCGTTATATGTCTCTGAAAGAGTACTTGTAAAAATAAATATTGAATCCTCACGGGAAGCCCTCCAGGAAGAATGTTCGCAGGGGTGGCGTTAGCGGGACCTCTGCACCCCTGCCCCGAGCGTCCCGCGGAGCCGTCCCCCCCCCGCCCCGCAGTGCCGGGCACCCCCCAAAGCCCGTGCTCTGTCGCCACCTGCCGAGTCCCTGGGACGGGGCTTCCCCACCCTCCCAAAATCTCCCATTTCCAAAAAACCCGCTCCAGGGACCGCGTTTGGAGATCCCCTCCCGCCGCAGCCGCCCGGGCAGGGACGCGGTGCGGGAGCCGGGGGGCTCCCGGTGGCTGCCCCAGTGCTCCTCCGGCACCGCCGCGGGATGCGGGAGCGCTGCAGCGGGACCCCCACCCCGACCGCGGGCCGAGACCCCCGGCCGGGATCCGCCGCTGGAAGCCGCGGGGCTGGAGGGGCTTTTCCCAGCTGAAAGGCTCGACAGCAGCGCAGGCAGGAACTGCCCAGAACCGCAAGCGAACCCAGAGACTGAGCTGGTCAAACCCTTGGCGTTTCCTCTCCATTGTTTCACGCGTTATTGAGTTGAATACCTGTGTCAGTAAGTCACGACTAATGTTATGTCATCTGCTGAGCAGCCGTGGAAGGCGTCGGAAAGCAGGCGGGATCTGGCTTTCCGTGCAGTAGGGCTGGGTTTCAAGCCGCCTGCGGGTGTATTTTAACTGCTGTTTGAATTCGAATCAGAGTGTGCTTTTGGACGGCAGCGCCTGATCTTCCTCACCTGCAGCTTTGTAGCCAGGAGGGGTGTTGGAGTGCACACCCAGGAATCCTAGATGGGAATTGCATCCAAAGCTCATGCTAAGATTGCTCTGAAGCAAGATTCCACGGAAATGTCTACATTATAGTTGTCTGAAAACTCCACGGGGTTTTTTGCATGTGAACAGTCCCAAGAAGTGTCCATATGTTCCAGCAGAGTAGGTCCCATTGAACGGGTCCATATGTGAGGGTGGATCAAAGCCTGAAGCTCCGAGCTCCAGGGACAGCACACCAGCCACTGAGCTGGAGATTTGTTCTCACACTTGCACGTTTGCATGCTGTGGCTTTCAGCTGCTGAAGCTGCTGTTTTCTGAGGAAACACATTCGAGCCTGGGAAGCTGAGGGGTTTCACATAGTCCCCCAAAGGCTGTATAATCCCTCAAGTCCCTTCAGACAGAGAGGGGACCTAAAACCACAAATTTATCTATGCTCTTGAGTGCCTGGCTCAGAGATCTGGGATGTGGGAGGGCACCGCATCTTTCTGCAGCCATGCATACAGAAGAAAGGAATGATCTTTCCTTTCCTTTCTTTTTATTTTATTTTATTTTTTTATTTTTGGGGGGTGTGTCTGTGTGTGAAAAGCTGAAGATTCATAAATCTTACAGCAGGGTCAGGGTAAGAAATATCGTCTGGAGAGAAATGCCTCTTCACATCCCCGAGGAAACAAGGCAGCATTCTGAGTACTAGCAGGATCAGAAGATCCCTTCCCTGGGGTTTCCTACGGATTGGAGCAGGTTCTGCTCACTGTGCTGGCTGTTGTGAATCCCATTTTTAGGCACTTATGCTGTGCTGGGAGATGGGCGCTGTGATCCTGCAATGCCATGAAGGTTTAAGTTGCTTGAAGTTACAAGTGCCAGTCTGACATTCTCCCTGCATTCCAGCCTGCTTGTTCCTACCCCTGGGGATGTCATATTAACTCTTTCACTCAGAAAAGTTTTATATTGCCATATTTCCCCAAACTAGCTTCTTTGTCATATAGCCAGCCAGGGGGAGGGTGCTGGAGAAACACGCACTTAGGGGACAGGCTAGCAGGACTGATATGATCATCTTCTAGTCTGCTCTAACAACAGGTCACCCATTAATTTAAGTGCTGCTTCTTGTAACTGATTTCTGCAATCTAAAATGGGTCCTTGACACATGGAGAGTCCCTGAGTTTGTTTTCCTTTCCATCAGCATCATATCATACACACCATCCAGTCATCCTGATTTCATAGCTTACTCCACCTTCATCCATAAGCTATTTACATGGGACTTACCACGGGCTGGCCTCACCAACAGAGAGGTTTGCAGAGAGCTGGTGTGCAATTAACCCTCTGGTGGCTGATTAAAGGTGACAGGACGTGCAGAAGTGCTGACCCCCTGCTCTCATGTGCAACTGCCCAGCAGGAAAGCATTTGCTTGCACACACTGCATTGAGCTGGCACAGTGCACAGCAACTGAAAACAAGCACCACTGCGTAAAAGGAAGGTGGTTTGACTCTCAGTGAGAAAAGACCATCCACAAGTATTTCCTAAATCTGACAGGAGAGTGTAACTACACCTGTTCTCAGCTGAGACCCAAATGTGCAGCTCCTTAACTGAGCAAACTACTGCTGTTGAGGACAGGCTCAGAGCACCTCAGCTCAGACTGGATATCTAGATGCAAGTACAGATGAAAACTAAATGGGTTTTTCTTAAATTCCCACAGTGGATCATCATCTCTATGATTTTGTCAGAACAACCCCAGTATATTTCCACAAAACCTGGATGATGCCTTTGGCCCTTTGCTTTTCCAGCAGCAGTACATTAAAGTTACTGCACAGAAAAGCTGTTCAATATTGAAGAAGGAAATACTAATAACTGCCTAATAAAAGTCTTAGTAAGAAACAGTTTCCTCCTTCTTGCCAACAGCGGTCAAAAATGTGGGGAAGCTGGAAATGAAGATATCAGAATGCAGACACATAAAAGGCAAAATCAACCCCATAAGGAAGTAAAGTTTCTAGAAGAAAATTACCCTGTAAAACTCATCTGGATTTGAGAATAGTTCTTGTTTTTCTTCTGCCCCTCCTTTCATGTTTAAAGTGGATTTAAATGCAGTAGGTACGTATCAGCCCAACTTTAAAACCAGCTCCTTCCTTGCTATTAACATATATAAAACACCTGGAAAATAATGTCATCAAGGCCCTTACAAATAGACCAATTTTAACTTTTTTTAGCCCAAGGGAGAGGCTTCCTGGTGGATGCCAAATGAGGGTGCCAGCCAGAGGAGTTTTATGAGCCCATAAACAAGCGTGCCAGACTATACAGCGTGTATATAGCACCCTCCAGAGCTGCTTCCATAACTGGAACTGAATCTGCTCTAAATAAAGTCCAGCCATCACTCAGACAGCTCACAGATTACGTATACCAGGATCCAGGGGCTTGGAAGACCCAGGTCACCTCCCTGTGAGACACCCAGGAGGGTGGGCAGATGCTCTGGGAGCTGAGCAGGGTGGTATAAGGTATCTCCTTCCCAGCTGTGGGTCTGGGATGCTGCCTACAGCAATAGCTGCTCCTCCGTGCCTTCAGCAAATGGAAACAAAAACAGAGGAGGCGCAGTCAACACAGCAATGCAGCACA